CTTTTGTCTCCTTTATTCAGTAGTTTCTATTCTGCGCGTTCTGCTCTTTATCTATGGGGGAAATATCAGCCGCGGGCGCAGTAGCGTTAAAGGGGAACCAGTTAAATTAATAATTTCGAAATTGCGAAAGAGAAATTGCCACTCGTAGTCCTTGTTCCTTTGTGTAGTTGCAGTTTTCCAGCCCGGCAAAACCGTCGACGAGCAAATGGAAATGTGAACCACCGACTTTTGAAAAAAATCGATTTGTCCGCAGATAAATGGATTCAATTGAGTCACCTGATAGTTTCACACGAATTGGTATTATCACTCTTGTTCCATGATTGAATTTCTTGTTGGATCACATGTATTCGATTATTAAATATTCGTAAGTACTCTTACTTGATTCGAGTAAAAAAAGTTTGCAAAGATAAATAAAATATTTGAAAATTATTTTTTAAATTGTAGCTATATTAAAATATTTTATTATTTATGTTTTTAAATATAAGAATATTCTCATGTAGAATCTATTTTTATTTAAATGTTACATTTGCTTCATCTAAATCAAATTTATCTGTATTAAAATTTCATTCAAAATAACATGTACAACATTCTTTCCAAGTAGACTATTAATTATCCATATAAATTATTATGACATATTAGTCGTAATATGTTTCAACCTTACCGATGTAATTTTTTCATTAACATGGTTTTGCGTAAAGTACGTACATTGACTCGATTAACCTTGTTAATAGCTGTAATTTTCACACACGCGTTCAACTAATGAGAAACGAGGTTGTTTTGGACGCTTCGTAACAGGGCACCGAATGTAGAGAGGGAGAGAATCTTAGCAGCACCCGTAATTATGTAGCCCTGTTTCGAAACGAGCCTCGCTTCGTATAGGAATGAGACCCAACAACGACGAAGCTTGTTATTGGCACCGTAAACAACACGATTATCTTCTTTCGTAGTGAAACCTGTCAAAAAAAGATTCTATTAATATTTATGACGATCCAAGAGTACGATTCACTTCGACACCCTACGGGGAAGTTAGGCTTGCCAAATTATGCGACGGGATGAGTTATAGGTTGAGGTTGCAACGCGCGATTGCTATGCTTTCATTGCCATCGGAACATATCCGCTATGCTCATAAATGAGTGATGAAGATGAATGCAGAGTACATTTATCAATTTTGCGAACGTTGCATGATTCGTGTCCGTAAAATATTGGACAAATGAATTTATTTCCAATACTTATTGTGGAGATATGGCGATATATATATATATATATATATATAATATTCTATAATAAAACATTTATAATTTACCTTATAACGAAAGGTTACAAATATATCATAGAATTGTTCTAATTGTCAATTAATTGAATATTAATTCTATAATTAATTAATAATAATTTATTAATAAAAAATATACGTAACATGATTGTAAAAATGGCATTAAATTATAATAATTCATTTACGTCGGATAGAAAGGAATTTTTTTATATTAGATTACAAGTTTTAAAATAATGTATTAAATTATAAATTTTAAAGTAATGTATTATATGGATTATAGATTTTAAAATAATGTATTAAATTATAGATTTTAAAGTAATGTATTAGATTATAGATTTTAAGGTAATGTAATTTTAATAATTAAAGGAACGAGAATATCGAACTAAATGTTTTTCTCTTTCTTACATTCTCTCTCTCTCTCTCTCTCTCTCTCTCTTTCTCTCTCTTCTTTAATACAAGGATTTTACACGCGAATATACATATATGAGCATGAAATTTATTCGATGAAATGCAAGCTGCATCATACAATTTCTCGTAAGACCCAACAGCGTTTCTCTTTAATGATATTTAATAATGTTACACGTCATCCGGCATCATCGTGAAAAAAAATGGCATCAAGGCATCGAGGTCAACAACTATCGTACATTCATTCGGAACATTTGATCACGAGTCGAGTAACGAGTACTTTTTTTATTGCACCGAGAAATCGCGCATATGGTAGATTCGACATGCAATGTCGATATTTTATTTCGATGTATTGTACAATATTTTTTACATCTGTCACTGGATTTATGTACGATAAGCAGGATCCAATAATCTATCAGGATGGATAGCCGAAAACTCACTGTTATTGATACGATGGCACGTTTTATTCGTATTTATACATATGTTCCTCTGTTATAAATTTTAAAACGGCGATGTGTTTACACGGTAGTTGTATTTATCTTTGATATATGTATTTCCATGTTTGATGCGCAAATGTAAAAAAAAAAAACATTTATGTCCGTGTGTAAATACGTTGGAAAGATGAATTAAACAAAATCTGATTTCCTGAATAATTAGACCGTCGTTAAATTATTGTACACAGCATTCGCGTTGAATATATTCTCAACAACCAAGAATAAAGTTTAAATAGCGTGGAAAATTGAGTTTATCATTTTGCAAGGTAATAACGTTCTGAACTAAGCGCTAGACAAATTGAAGAATGAGTATATTAATTACGTCATACTCCATTAGGATTTACCGTAGACGCCGTCGCCACATTTTCGCATTACGAGCGAAGTTCTGTAAAAATAGGGGGCCATTAAATTTCCTCCGGCGACGAATTCCGGGTTAACATTCTTGGAACGGTCGCTCTAACGAGCTCCACGATAATAAAAGTGAAAGGCGCGAGCGCGAGTTTCAACTTCGGTCTCGTCGCGCGCGCGTTTTCCTTGTTGAGAAAGGGGTTGAAGAAATTGGTAGGAAGAAAAGAGAGAGGGAAGAGGAAAGAAAGAAAGATGTCGGCGTAACGTATAATATTCCGTTATCTCGGAATGTCTCGCCTTCTGAACATGTTAATTTTATATTTGAGGAAACGATAAATAAGGTGCCGTCGGTAACTCACTGCTTTTGTCCGTGGAGAGTCTTCATTACCAGCTAATATATAACCATGGTCCTTCGGGGGCATTTCTGATTCGCGAAACGAATTACGAAGTATTGGATACACGTATTGAGTGATCTGTAGAAACTATACATTAGGTGATTGTTCGCGCGATTATCTGGTCCTCGGCTCGAGCGTTTCTCTTATTACACGTAAAATGTGCACAAAGACAAGGACGTTACTTTAGCGAGCCGACTTTCGCGAAGTCGCCGCGGCTAATCGCGTCCAGGCATCTCAGTTGTTCATCGTGCCTCGCAGCGTTCTGGATAAGGGTTCGCACGAAAAGAAAGCGAAATCGCATGAGATCTCGAACACATCGGTTTTGAAGGTGATTCTGCGCATATATAGGGTGTCTCAGGTTTCTTCACGCTCGCCTACGAGCTTTTTAATTAATTTAAAAAAAATTTTCTCTCAGCAGAAATTTTAAGATTGCTATTTGCATTTTTAAATTGAAAATGAATATAAGAAAAATCTACCAATTTTTATGATACGTGATCAAAATAAGGAGGAAAATTGATTGAACGATATTTTATTCTTTCTTATATTTAAGATAAATATAAGATTCTTATATTTTTATAGAATGTTAATTTAAGATATATTTGCAAAAATATTCAATGACAAAAAGAGACCAAATTAAATTTTCCCTGAGAAAAGTATGACTTAATTAAAAGAATTTCGCTTAATTAAAATTAGCTTAATGGAACATCTTAACATAGATCAATTTTACATTTAATTTTTGTAAAGAAAAGTACTAATCTCAAAGCATTAATTAAAAATTTATACATTGAACATTCTTGAAATATATATCGATACTATATATCGATTGGCCTTCAGGTGCGAACCGGTTTCCTTGGCTCGATTTTCGACACTCCGAATCTCCTTCAACCCCCTCGATCTGTTCTGGTGGGGTTCTTGCGCATCATTTTTGTCTTTCTTGTTGGAGCGAGTGAGGCTTTATTCAAGACACGCTGTGGTGGATAGTGATGGTACGCCTTCCCAGTGTCAGATTTTATTTATCTCATGGTGGCTTTTTGTTTCGTGCTAAATACTCCAGCATTTAAGAAGACGGTCTTCCCCGATTTATGGTCGCCGTCGCTGCCTCTAGCTCTGTTTCTTGCTCCTTTTTATCTTTCTTGAATCCACTCGTATGTTTTGCGTGGATTCTTCGAGGATACTCATCTCACGCTTTATTCGTCGTCATCAGTATCTCGTTTACTTTGAAAAATATGTCACTCGTAAATTTAAGAATGTACGTGCCACAACTCAAAACAATACAAAAACATAAAAATTTTATAAATTGTTCTATTATTATGTCTGACAATGAGTATCTGTGCAAAATTTGAGCATATTTGTTTAATAATTCTTTATTAGTTTACAAGCTATTTAATTTTTTTAGCTTTATTATGTAAAATCGCTTTTTGTAAGATTTATTTGGAAATTTGGAATGAGGAAATTATGAATTAAATGAAATTTTTTATATAACAAAATTAATAAATATATTTATCCAAAATTATTTGGATCAATTTACTCGTTTAAAAGTTTATCGGAAATTGGAACAAAATATGGTAATAGTTGTATGAGCCATTAAAAATTAAATTATAATTTGCTTGTTTTTTGCAATTGATTTCAGAGTATATTTACAACCAAATTTTTTGACAGACATCTTAGCTGTATTGACTATTTGAGTTGGCTATTGAGTTTTGGCTAATTACTTTTAGCTGTTATTATACAAGACATCTTTAAAGAAACGAAGTCATATTAAAATAAAAATTTGAATATATAATAAAATTATCGTGCCTGGAAAGAACGATTTTACTAAGGTATCTAAAAATTTAGATACATATCTAAAAATAATTCTGTTGATTATCAAAATAATTATGTAGAATGTTTAAGCGTTAATGACAATGCTGCAAATTTTAACATTCTAGCAAACATTTTGAGCGTTTTACATAATTATTTTTGGTGATGATCCGAACAAAATTATTATTTTTAGATTTATATCTAGCTAAATTTGTAGATATTTCAATAAAGCTATTCTTTCTATGTAATTTTTATATTTTGGTAAAATTTCATTCCATTCTGTTCCAGATAAATGTGGAAGCGGTGACCTCGACCGATTATGATTCCACGAATCTCAGCAGGAATTTTAATCAGTTCGGTTTCAACACCTATAATTACTCGCAGTTTGAAGAGAAATACAAGCCGCGGCAAATTTTTAAATATGGCGACGAGTACCTCGAATACGGACATAAGCTCGGCGCTAACGAGAGGTTCGCGCGAACGAAATATCAGGACGATTTAAGATTCGATCAACGATACTCACGCAGCCATTCTCAGCCGGAACGGCAGCATCACTTGTCTCAAGAGACGCGCTCAAAGTCCCAGGATTCCCGCGAGCTCACGTTCTATCAGATAGACCCACCTGTGAAATTGGAAAATCCACGGCAACATGACAAGTCGCATCAGAAGCTAAAGAAGGAGTTGACCTTTTACGGGATCGATGGACTTCCATCCGGTCAGGAGAGGAAAGATAAGTCTGAGGTGTGCAAAGAGCGTATCGATAAGGGCATCAAGTCCCACGATAAGTCCCACGTCGATGATCAAGAGAGATCGCAGATCGCAAAGCACGGCAAACAGAATCATCAGGAGCAGCAGAAGATGTTGATGAACGTGCTAACGTCGGACTACCACCAGCTGAACCAGTCGCAGTCGGATCTCACGGAGTGTCAACTGCCGAATTACTGCGGGCACCGGAATAATCCGTATATCGATCCGCCCAAGTACCGACAGTTCGACAGGCCACCACGCTATCAGGAGACTCCGCTGAAATCGGAACCGCCACCCAAGTATTACGCCGATCCGCCTAAGTACGCCGAGGTGTCCAGACGGCAGGATGACTTTAAGAGGATCCAGGTAAGCTATAACGTATAGGAAATTCTCAGTTCCTCTGTAAAAGTATAGGTTACTCCCAGACTTCTCTCTCTCTCTCTCTCTCTCTCTCTCTCTCTCTCTCTCTCTCTCTCTCTCTCTCTCTTTCCAAAAT